TTTCCATATTATAGTTTTGAAAATAATACTGTATAAACATAGGAGTCAAAATATTCCTTTGAGATCCTGATTTCAACATTTTTGGATATATACTCAGAAAAGGGATGATGTGGTGCCAATAGTTTTACTTTGCTAAGAAACTTCCATGATGTTTTCTATAATAACTCTTACTTCTTTATATTTCCACAAACAATGTACAAAATCTCAATTTCTCAAACATTTATATATTTAATAGTAGTTATAATTAGAGATATGAGGTGATACAATTGTTTTATCTGCATTTCCTTATGATTAGCAATGCTGAGATAAAGTATTATGTACTCCCTCTATTGTCATTTATGATATATATGTATTTGCATAATTCTATTTTGTACATTACTCAGAATGAAAATAGCTTTATTGTGGCTGTTACTCTTTTATGTCATTTGAAAGAGATCCTCTTTATGCAATCTCGTATTTTTTTTTATTTTTTATTTTTTTTTTAAAGAGAGAGAGAGAGAGAATTCCAATATTTATTTTTCAGTTTTTGGCAGACACAACATCTGTGTTTTTTTTGTATGTGATACTGAGGATCTAACCTGGGCCACACGCATGCCAGGCGAGCGCGCTACCGCTTGAGCCACATCCCCAGCCCTGCAATCTCGTATTTTGTGTGTTAAATTCTACATGGTTTGAGACCACTGTTAAGTCCTTTGTTTTGTTCTATAGAATTTTACATTTATCGTTTATATATTACTTTTTTTTTTCAAACTCAATCTTGTTAAAAATCATCTTGATTAAGGCTTTTACATTGATTTATAAAATTTATAATTCATTTACTTTTTGGTAATTCAGGTTACATCCATAGATGTAAAGATGTAATTTTGTAAAAATAGTCTTAATTTTGACATATTTTCATACAGACTATTTTTTGATCTTCACTAATTTTTTAGAAATTAAAAAACATTTAAAATTTTAAAAATATTATTTAATATCTCACTGTAAAAAATGAATTGAGTTGGCATTTAAATATTTGTTTTGTAACTTCATACATATGCATCTTTATGTTGATATTTTCATTGAAAATAAAAGCAAATGAATACCAACTGCTTAAATTACCATTCTACCTTAAATTACCATTCCTAAAATATCATTATAAATTTCTATTTCTCTACATGATGGGAATTGTTAGCTGCCTTCCAAGAATCTATTATCCTTTATTTCCTCATTAATAGAATATCAGTTTTTTTTTCAAAGTGAAGGTTTGTATTTAAAAATACTCATTGTAACAAATTCCCTTCAATTAAGTTGTAGCCATGAGAGTCACTTTCAGTAGTGGAATTTTATCAGAAAAAACATAGGAATTATTGTTTCCCTGATACAAAGTGACAAACTTGGCTGATATGTGCTTTCTGATCTCACCCTTCCCCTTCTTTCTGCCACATACCAGGCAGGATGTGAAGAATCTCTTGCCCATCAGAGTAAATGTTCACTAGCTAAGATAGCAGAGGAGGAGGATAGACTAAGCTATGTTTCTTTATGATTTCTTAAACAATTAACTACACAGAGGACTGCCTGTCTTTGAAATACATATTATATGATTAAAAATATAATCCTTTAACATATTATATGATTCAAAATATAATCCTTGATTAGTTGTTCTTTTATTACATGCAGACAAAATGTGATCCCAATTGATAAAATTGGCTATTTCCAAGATCACTCCATATTTTAAAAATATTATATAGATTAATATATAAATATATATTTCTCTATCGTAAGTTTTTAGATAAATAAGCACTTCAAATTTCTAAAATTACTTTTATTTCATATAATCATCTATATTCTTATCTTTAAAACAAAAGTAATATCCAACTATACCCACAAAAAAAGGACAAGAAATCATTTTACCTCACAATTAGGGATAAACAAGACCCTTCTCAATAGTTTTTAATGTTTTATAAGGTATAAGCAATAATTACATTATTCAATTGGTTTCTTTCAAAATAAACATTCTTCTTGAATTTCTACATCCATGATTTACTAAAAAAAAAGAGTGGTAATTCTTAGAGAAATCATTATGTGAACACTTATAGGATGATTTTTTTCAGTTTTCATAATATTCTGTGTTCATTAATAAGTACAATGAAATATTATATTTAAAATATTGCTGAATAAATATCTATCCTAACAGATTTACATTTGTTCCTTCTCAAAATTTATGAATAGTGCTATAAATTTTTAAATTATCAAAGAATAACCAAAAGAACATTGCTTACAGCAGAATCAACAAACTGATTCATAAAGTAACAAAAGTTATTAAAATAGTTTTTTAAATCTCTATAACTCAAAAAAAATTCTGACAGCACTTTAAGGTTTGTTGTGTACGTGTTGTTTTGCATTCATACGTTTTTAGTAGTGGTTTTCTTCATTTTTCCCCTCATTATAAAATTTTCACTCTTTATCTTCTTAAAATATTTTCAGCAGATTAAATATAAGTTGAACTTAGTATCACCTCATTTTTAAAAACATCTTCTATTTATTCTATTTCCTGCAACTAAGGCTTTATATTTCCTTTGCCCAAAATTTTTAGAGAAAATATTTTATAATTGGCAATCAGTTACTCATTACAATTTCATACTTGCATCTGAAAACTACTGAAATTCCAATGATTAAAAAAAAATTCTTCACCATCAACATACATTTCTTTCAGTGCTAAATTTCTTTGACCCTTTAGAAACTTTCTTCAGTTTTTAACCACTTTTTTTCCCCTTAGCTTAAGTGATAATAATGCCCATATCTCTCCTTTTACTCCCTTTTATTCTCATTGGTTTCTCTGCTTTCTATACACAAATTGAGCCTGAGGGCTTGCTCTTAGTTCTCAGTCTTCATTGATCCCTATATTTTCCTGAAAGAGCTTGGTTTCAACTTTGCCTTCAAGCAAATGACTACTGGACTGACACCTCTGGACTTACACCAAGCGCAGAACACTATTTCTAAATTTTAGTTCTTCGTTTTTTCTAATACCTAGTATATATACTTTCACACACACACACACACACAAAAAAAAAAAAACCTATAACAAACTCATCTTTCTACTATAACTTTGAAAATGCTGTCCAATCCACTAAATTATTTTTTGTCCCAGTTATAAAGTTTCAAAATTTTAGAGGTATATTTCCTTATTTCTTCTTCTTCTTCTTCTCCTCCCACATCAATTTATTAAAAATATCTCATCAAATTGTGATATCATTTATGAAAGCATCTGTCCTTTACTTTTATATTATTTTTGTTGACATTGTAGTCTGCTCTATAAACCCTCTAACATCCCTTCCTGTCAGAATAACTAATCTCCCTGCTGTCATTTGTTTTTTACCCTCATCTTCTTTAATCTGCTACCAAAATATTGAATAATTGCCTTTTAACTTTGGTAATATCATTGGTTTATGAGCACATACGATGAGAGAACCATTCTATTTTCTTACTCAAATAACTTCAATTGATCTTCATTATATTCACTAAGAAATCTAAACTCTTCTGTATTTTATCCAACTTACCAAACTTTTCATCACTTCCTTAAATGTCACGTGGTCCTCATTTATTTTGATTGTCTTTAATAGGGTCGTGTATGGTTCTATCTTTGATTATATCAGAAATGAAACACCTAAATAAAATTCTTCCTTAAGAGTCCAGATTAATATACCAAACTTAAATACTCCCTCATTTTTTTAATATTTTTAATCATTATACAAAATTATTATGATAGTCGGGGTGTTGCACACCTGTAATCCCAGCAGCTTGAGAAGCTGAAATAGGAGATTTGAGAGTTCAAAGCCAGCCTCAGCAACAGAAAGGCACTAAGCATCTCAGTGAGACCCTGTGTCTAAATAAAATACAAAATAGGGCTAGGGAGGTGGGTCAGTGGTTGAGTGCCCCTGAGTTCAATCCCCAGTACCAAAAAAAAAAAAAAAAGACTAAGAAAATTATTATGAAAAACCCAGTTTTTAAAACTAATATTACAAAATCATTACTATATTCATAATTTTTAAAGAATTGTATCTACTTATACATAATTACTGTTTAATATTTATACATACCTTTTTACTTTTAATCATTGTTCAAAATAATTTTCTATTCTTCCTCAAAATGTCTGTGCATATTCAATCATGTACCACATAATGACATTTCATGAATGACAGACTACATATGCAGTCATGGTATCATAAGATTATATCACTTAATGATGTCATAGCTATCTTAGTTCACAGAAGTACACCTATGATGTTTAGACAGTAACAAAATTGTCTAATAACATATAGGCATTGTAACATTACTCAAAACATACTCCCATTGTTAAATGATGCATGACTATATATATGAACATCAGAATTAAACACTGCTTTGCAACATACTTGTTTACTTACTGTATTTCAGATTTTTTTCTAATAGCTGCAGAGTTAATCCCTTCTTTTGAACTTTTATTTATTTGCTCTAACATTGATATTCTATGAAGAACATTTTATTTTTTGTATATCCAGCATCATAAAGATTCTAGGAATCAAGTTTTTCTAATCATTTCTTCAATATTTTATAAATCAACATATAATGATGGTTTGATTATAATGTCACAAAATTAATTGTTTAAGAATGAATATTTTTGCTTTTCCAAAAATAATTTAAATTGTACTTTATAGCATTCTAAAAATACCAAATATTTCTCAAAGGAGTCATTTATATACCAAACAAAAATGAATCAGAGCTCTATTTTCAATTAAAAAGCAAAAATATATTTTTCTACAACTCCATGATTTTAGGATCAATGTCTTCATACACGAAGCATATGAGTCTTTATGAATGCTCAGATAGAAAGCCATTACTAATACATTCATTGATTTATTATATAAAAATGATAAAACTACTAAAAAGTTTATAAAATTCAAGTGTAGAATTTAGAAGCTAAAATTCTACTTCTTTAAAAAATAAAAAATCATTTCTAATAAAATCCTAATGAAGCCAATTACCTTTTTCAAAGCAGCGCAAAAATTGAAGAAAAGTCGCTGGTTATATGCTTTGAATCTTTCAGGAAGTTGCCAATTCTGAATTATTTCTTCATCAGAAATCACATGATGATCCAGTGCTTTGAGAGGCCATATACTGTTAACAAGAACATGTCTATATCCTTTCTTAAGGCTTACCGGACAATCAAACAGAGTGAGAGCAATGAGGCTTGGACAGGCAGACAATACACATAAATTCTTTAACTTTGCAAATGCATTGTCATGAATATAGAGGAGTTTTAGGTACTTTAATCCACTCCAAAATTTCGTATCTGGTAGATTCTTGATCTGAAATATTATCATGAGTAAATTTAGCTCAAATACTACTTTTCTAAACATAACATGGAAAAATACCAAAATATTAAACATCTTCTAAAATTAAGTATCTTGCAAGTTTCTAATTAATAATAAGATAAATATTTCCAAGTATCTAAATGATTTCTGGGAAAACAACATAATACACTGAGTATTTGTAATAAACTATTGTTATTGTTATAATTAAATGCATAACCATATATATTTGATTCAATAAAAATTACTTGGTAAAAGCTGACTCTAAATTTTCAAAAATACTTTTCTTCTATAAAGAATTGGAGTCAAGAAGTATCCTTAATCTGGATTATAAATTTAAGAAATAAAATATACCAAATCATGCATTGTTTATGTGCTTTATTTTTAAAAATATTGTACTTTTAATTTTGTATTAATACACATTTTTAAAATTTATTTTCAATTTTTATATATATATTTTAGATAACAGATTATCTAAAAATAATATTGTGGGTAGATAACATAAGTTCATTACATATAAATTTCATTTATATTCAGACATCTTAAATGACTATTGCTTACCTGATTTCCATGAAGGTCAAGTTTCATTAATTTTATACAATTTTGAAGTGGATGAATATCTGTAATAAAATTATTTGAGAAAATGCATACTTTAAGAGAGATATAAGATTGCAAATATTCCATAGATTTTAAATAAAGTCCACTGAACTTCACAAAAACAAAATCTTTTTGATCTTCGATTATATTTTCATTATAGTGACTCCATTCTTCATGACTGGTTAGCTCTTTTGTGATTGTTCCATGAAACATCTAGAAAAGATGGAAAATTTTTCAACTTTTAAAAATCTACCTGAAAACAAAATAGAATATTTGCTAAGATATAATGAGAATTAATATGAGTATAAAAGATAAAAATTTTAAAAAGGAGTATCTAATTCCCATAGAATATTTGATCCTGAAGTATTTTAAATATCTAATTACTACTGAAAAAGATATAATTGTATTTATCAAAAACAAATCAGTGAAAGGAAGAAAAATATTCTTTTTCATAGAATGGAGAACGTAGAATTAATAAAGATGTCACTTCTAGACCAGACAAGTAACAAAAAACAAAATTGTGTCTTAACAAATAGCTAGTATAATTATTTTGGTTTAACAATGTTAAATAAAAATAAAATCACTAAATATTTAACAAGTTAGGAGAATGATAATCTGTACAGTGGCTGAAAAATGCAGTCAGAAGAAAATAAAGAGTAACAACAATTTTCAACTGGTATCAACAATATTTATATTTTAAAGAAAAAACTTACCATCACATTATAGATTTTTATGTTCAATTCAATTAGACAATTAGGATTCAGAATTCTAAAAGCTTTAAAATTTGACTAATTAAATTTATCTGAAACTTTTGAATCAATACTTTATTGTATAATCTTATATGATATATCTCATACATATGAATTTACCCTTAGTATGAGTAATTTTAGTTTTCATAAAAGGTAGTCAATTAGTGATAGTTTAGAAGAGAATGTATAAGCACAAGTAGTCTATCTGGGCTTCTCACACAATAAACCACCTTCCCTACTAAAGGAATCAGTTTTTATGCTGTTCAGGTAAACTCAAGTTAACAAAAATTCAAATGAGAATGTGAAATTCCAGATAAACTCATAGTATAACAAGACATTGGCTATTTTTTTAATCTCCTAAGGGCTAAACCTATAACCCTGCAATTCTCAAGCATCATCTATGTAATTAATTAAAAGGATGAGAAATTTCTGAGCACCACCTTTATATCTATGTATCAGAATCTCTGGGTTAAGGGTGCAGCAATGCATTTAAGCAGGCAATTCATGGATATCTTGAGAAAGTTCAATCTAAACTAAAAGTTAACCAGCCTTCCAAAATTAAAGAGCAAAACAGCACACATAGACACAAGCTCTTTCAAAATCAAAGAGCAAAACGGCACAAATAGGCACAAGTTCTAGAGGCACTGAAATGTAAGGCAATATATACAATGCATCTTTATCGTTTACACTCTTTTTCTAAACAGAAAATATTGTTAGGAAGTCCTTCCTCAAAGTCTCCTTTCAAAGTACTACTTTTCTATTGTCATCTGAAAATATGCTAGCTCTAGAACAGTTTATGACAAGAGCTTAAGAGAGACTATATAAGGGACATATCAGCATGTTTCAAAATAAGACAATGGGGTGCTCAAAAATTTCATCTATAGCATCCCCTTTTTGAAAGCAATATCTATTCTCCAAGAAATCTGCAAAGTAAGAATCACATACCAAAGAAGTGTGTTGTTTATTTTATGATCATGTGTGACTTAAAAAAACTTTTTTTGAAGGTGGGACCTATTTTATGTCAACAGAAAAAATAAGTAAGAAGTACGGAGTTCCTATATACGCTCTCATTAATCCCCCAACCTCTGTAGTTCTCTATTATTAATATATTGCATTAGTGTGACACATTTCTTAAAATGAATGAGCCAATGTTAGTACATAATTATTAACTAAAGTCCATATTTTGGACTTCACTGTTCGTTGCTACATGTCTATGGGTATCAACAAATGTATAGTAACATGTGTCCATCATTATTGTATCATGTAGAATTGTTATTATTTCATACCATAGAAGTCCCCTGGACTTCACCTCCTTCCCTCCTCTCAAGCCTCTTACAACCACTGATCTTTTTAATGTCTCCATAGTTCTGACTTTCCAGAATGTCATATGGTTGTAGATATACAGTAGGGCCTCTTTCACTTAGTAATGTGCATTTAAGTTTCCTAAATATCTTTTTTTTCTAAATGTTCATTCTTAAAGCACTGAATGTATAATGGTTTATTAATCCATTCACGTACTGAAGATACTTTGTTGGGTTCCAAGTTTGAATAATGATGAATAAGTTTCTATAAGGATTTGTGTTTAGGTTTTTGTGTGAACATTAGTTTTCAAATCATTTGGGTTAATATCAGCAGTTTACATATTAGATCATATAGTATGTTTTATTTTATGAGAAAGTGTCTCTGTTTCTCAAAATCATTGCCCTAGTTTGCATCTCCCTATGTAAGGAATAAGAGGAATTAATTGCCCCACATCCTCACCAATATTTGGAGTCAGTATTTTGTATTCTGTTCATTCTAATAGGTGTACTGGTATCTCACTGTTCTAATTTGCAATTACTATGGACATATGATCTTGAACATCTTTCTATATGCTTATTTGCTATCTGCATTTTCTGTGAGATATCAATATCTTTTGTCCATTTTTTGACTGTATTGATTTTTTATACTTGAGTTTAAATTTCTTGCATTATTTAGGAAGCCAGCCCCTTATCAAACACGTTTTGCAAAAATTTTTTCCCAGACTACATTTTTCCTTTTCATTTTCTTAATTGTTCTTTTATATTTCACCTCCAAAATTCATTTAAAAAACTTTTGGACAATTAACACCCATCTACCATGAAGTATTAGAGATCCTATTTCCTCCCATAAGGATGAAAGTGATTTTATACTTTTCATTACTGCATCCCAACAATATATACACATACACAAAATTATATAGTTAATGTTTATTTCTCACACAGATCATTACATCTCTAATACTCTATTTTGATGCTTATTTCTACAAGGTATAATATTTACCCTGACATTTATTTCCAGACATTCTAAACAGTGATATCAACTAAGGATAGTTATTAATGTCTGTAGGCTCATTACTTAGCAATGAATTTTTTTATTTTAAGTTGTCTTCTATCAAAATTGCTTTATCTGTATCTTGTTTTATTAATATTATACTACAGCAATTCTATTAATACAATTTTCATTGATTCACTTCACTAAATTTTCTGAATGAATGATGTCTGTATGTCATCTGAATATGTCAATGATCTTCTACTGGCATTATTCAAAACCTGAATTCTTTTCTGTTTTCTATACTGATCTCAGACATTCTAGACAATTTTATGAAATGAGAAGTTCCTGCAATTATGTGAAGCATTCAAATGTATCTATTAGATGAATAAACTCACTAGCTTTGGGAAGTTTACTGATACAATTATAATACTCCTCAAAATGTTGTACCCTCCCCACCAAAATGTTAAATATGTTCACATTTTCTACATTAGAATGAATGTATGGTAAGGGAACTAATTTGATTGGCATTCTTCACTCACTCGAAAACTTCTTGCCAATAAAACATATAGTCTGACAAAGACAAGCATTATTGAGTTAAATCTGAATTTCAGGTAATTTTTATATTATGTAATACAATTCCTTTATTTTCACTCATACAACTTTTTTTAACCTTTCATCAAAAAGATGTCTACTGTAAGTAAAAATAAAATCTGTAAGAATTAAAAACCAGCGTGATTAAGGGGCTATTCAATCTAAATTTGAGATAATCAGCATATTCCTTAATTCAGTGCCCTTTCTTTCCATTTTGTATAACTGTCTACTTTTAGCTTTAATCAAAAATATTTCTATTATAATCAAAAAAGTAAGAACTAAATACTAGTATGATTAAGCAGACTCAGGTTCACAGCTTAAAAGGATTTTTTTTATGAAAATAAAACTAATTTTCTTAATTCTTAAAAAAAGTTTTAAAATAATACACTGGGGGGGAAATACTGAATTATCTACGTGGTAAACAAAAATAAGCACTATTTAAATATTAGTTTTTATCTATTTTTCCAATTGTTAAAATTCTAAACAATTAACAACACTGAATCTTAGCTATTGAAATAGTTGAACTCTGTCATTACAGGATGTCACACCTCTCTGCCTTGGTGCAATCCTCTTACAAACTGAGAAATCATAAAAAAGGTTAAGATAAAAGAGAGGACAGTTTTAGCCTGGTATGGAAAAATTTGTTAATTGGGATCATAGGCTCAGTATTCTTTTGAAGGAAAATGGACTTCAGCTTTTTTCAGGTCCAAGGTTTGGAAAATGAGGCAAATAAGGGCAATGTTTAAATTTTCTAAGTCTACTGAATTTCGGGTCAAAAGTAAACTGGCCAAGCTGGTGTTGCTCAAACCTTGCAAGGCAATGTTAGATTCTGGCAAATAGTTCCCTCCCTATGGTGGATTCAGTTCCTCCCAAGAGTCTATAGGGCAAGTTACTGTTGTCAGTAAGATCTCTTAAGGACAGAATAAAATTTTTTCCCTTTTTTATAATTATGCAGCCATTTTAATTTTTATTATGTTTCTGTGCAAAATCATTGTCTTTTATATGATGAAGATTTCCTTTTATATGATGTAAATCTCTGTTCCATTCCCACATCTCGAATTTAAGGTATTTAAATGTCCTCTTTCCCATTAAATTATATGTACTCTGAGAACAGGAAACTTGTTCTGTTTAGCTAACATGTAAAAAATTTTAATATAAGACCTAAAGTTCTAAGTCAGACTTCAATACTATTAGTATACATGGATATATCTGGCCGTCTTTTCTTTCCCTCAGAGAAAAAGAAAACTTTCAGGTGAGAATGTGTGAGAGACTACTAAGTACAAAGAATAAACTCTCACTTAGGTAGAAATCTATGTTAATTCCTTGAATTCTTTATTTTGAATTCACAAACAATATTCAATCTCTTGCAAAAATTTTTAAAAACATGTACTTTTCAGTTATTTATGCAGTGTAACAAATCACTCCAAAATCTATGGACTTATAACAAAACCACTTTATTATCTCTGAAGATTTTGTTTTTATTCCACTCTTGCAAGACTACAAAAGCAAAAGTAGTTGATTAGCATTCATAAAACATATTTTTATCTCCTAAAGTTGGACCACTAGTATGTTTCTATTAAA